ATATTGGGCTGTGCAGATAAAACTGACATGACTCCCAGTTATTGGTGATTTAATATGTATCATAACTCGATCTGTGACTGCACCAGAGGCCATAATGTGGCTCTAAAATAGTCTGATTCAGAATCTGGAAATCAGTCTCAGTGTTTTCTTGTGTGCTAACATATGAGTTTTGTCTGCTGCGGACTGAACCCTGGTCAGCTTTTCAAAGAGCCAAGGAGTTCCCAGAAACCTCTGCATCATCAGTGATGTAAGATCTTTTTACACACTCTCCGGGGGTACACACACACACACACACGCACACACCCACACACAGACACACACACACTACGCAGGGATCTCTGCTCTGTGTCCTAGAAAACAAAAAGCTTTATCTCCATTGAGAGTCTGGAGTGAAAACAGTCCAGTGTGCTCGTCTGCAGTTTCTGATGATTCCTCTGAGAGTCTCTCTGAGCGTCTGCAATGTGTTTGTACTCTTCAGCTGCTGACGCATTATGTTTGAGGGTTGTTTTTTTTTTAATGAAGTCAGGGTGTTGACAGTCTTATTGATCGGTCACAAAAAGCTCTGTCCTCCCCCTGCTGTGGAAACTGCTAAGAGACCACCGTATTATCACATTATTCCCTTGCATCCATGTGAAGGAAGTTTAACTTGTAGCTCTGAAACATCCTTTAAAGAGGAAAAGATGTGCTTGTCACAATCAGGTCTTACTGCACACAACTATCTGACAATCATCATTTTTAAGTTTTGGGGCAAATGCAGAGAGAAGTGGTGGACAGAAGGGACAAGTATGTGTTTAGAAAACTAAATAGTAAAAGTAAATATAATTAGTGAGAGATGCTGCAAAAACATGTTCACAAAAATGTCAAATAACAAACTAAGCGGCAATTTGTCTGACACAAAGTGGCTGAAATGGTTTAAAGCTGGGGTAGGATGTTTTATTTTGGCATCATGGGGCAAAATCTGACAATAAATGTAACAAAAGGCACGTCAATATTGGTGAAGTGATTCAGAGATGGAGAGAAAATGTTGCTAATAGTTTAGCCTTCTGCTAACTGAAGTTAAGGACTCATGGCTGCAGCTTCAAGGTCACATTTATGCAGCTAATATTAGCTAAAACCCCGAATCAGTGTGCCCTCCGCCTCTTTCCCCACCACTACAGACCACCTCGCTGGGAGGAGAGTGGGCAACAGCTCCAGAGACAGACCCTGAGTCAGCAGCAACCTGAATTTGAGGGACCAGATGGCCTCAACTCCCCACTGGATCTGCAAACTTTCTGTTGCTGCCGTTACACAGGTTTGAACTGGTGCTGCCGCTGCTGTGACACCAGGTGCTGCTGCCTGCTCTCCTCCCAGAGAAGCAGTCCACAGCCCAGGGAGTGAGGCGCAGGGATGTGGGGTACCTAGCAGTTAATTCTTGTCTCTTGTGGTCTGTTAAACAAAGAAAGAGCAGGGCAAGGAGGGGCTGAGAGACTGATCTGTGTACAGCTCTACAATGAAATAAGATTAAACAAATCAATGTGTGAAACATGCCCGTGGTTGTCTGGTGGGAGGGGCTTAGGACGGAGAGGGAAGAACTGGAGGAGGAGGGTGGAAATTTCTGCCTACTCTAGCTTATATTATGTAAATTATATTGCTCTTTTACATTTAAATTTGTATGTGTAATGCTGTGTATTTATGAATTCATTTTATGTATTTATTTGTCTTTTAATCTTATGGATCAACACCTACAATGCAAGTCTGTCCGGCACATTAATACACTCGACTCTCTCTTATGCTCTTACACTACAATATGAATTTCCACATCTTTATATTGCAAGCTGTAAGCAACACGTCAACTAATTGTGAGCCACTTCTTTAATGTCTCAGCTTAAGTTTTTGAAAGAATTTCCTCAGTACTGTGGAAGTTACATCTTACACTGCTGGCTCCATGAGGAACGAGCCCTTCCGCTTCCAGATATTACAATGAACATCCCAAACCAGCTTCCCTGATTTCTCCTGCAACATGCACCGTCTTCATCCACCTCATTATCACATTAACTTCTCTGTGACCAGTGACTGTATCTCTGTGTGTTGATGAATCCACAGCATCGCTCTTCAGCATGGGTTTTTACACTGCTGCTTCCTGCATGTATTAACACAGGGTTTATTACTGGTATTTTTAAACCAGTTTGTTCACAGACATTTCTTCAGTAATAGTCATCTAAATGTTTACACATACACCCTCTCTCATTCTGCATAACAGCACGTCTCCATCATTAACAGAGCAGCAGGATGACCTTCACACCAACTCTCTGCAGAGCAGCTCAGATTGGATCAGTGCTGCCCCTGAGTGGCCGAACCTTCACATTACAGCTGCATTCAAACCAAAGTCACAAGTGACACTTTGTGCCTCTGAACTCCTTTACACATGGAATTAAGTGGGGGGTTTTTTTATAGAGTATGGGCAATTTTTCTACCAGTCAGTGAAGAGTGGTGATAACAGGACTGATATAAAAAGCATGTGATCTTTTTTTTCTTTTGGCTTTAAACTGAAAACTGAAAACAGTCAAGTAGCAGACCTGATGATTTAGAACCCTTTGGATGACCACATACAATCATTAAAAATTCATCTTAATTTAGCTGGAGAAACTTTTCTGACACTTGTTTTCAAAGGGACAAGATGTAAGGTCAGTGGTTCCCAACTGGTCCAGCCATGGTGTCCAGATTTCTCCTTAGTCATTAATTAAAGTTCCACACAGTCTAATACAGTCAGCGTCATACTTGCATTTGGCCATGTCGTCAAGCTAGTTTGCTGTCTCTGTTAAGTTGTTGTCCAGTGGTCACTCACTCTACAGCTGAAAACAACACTTCAAAATAACAGCTCTGTGCCATAAATTCACTGTCCTTCAAAATTAAAGTGTGTTTTTTGCAAAGTTGACACATTTGCGAGTCACCTGTGGTCCGTTCAGAATGGACCCACAACCCACCAGTTGGGAACCACCATATTAAGGGATGTAAGTGGCTTCTTTGCTGGTTTCAAGCAGAAAAGATCTGAGTGTCGTCCACAAAACAGCAACAATGAATATTGGGAATAATGTCAGCTTGGGAAAGCATGAGAAAAAAACGGGGGCCGAGGACGCAGCCCTGGGGAACACCACAGAGTGGAAACTGAAGAGGAGGCATCACCAACAACTACAGAAGTTCTGCATGATTTAAAGGCAGTATCCATGATGCCAAACCCATTTTTAAAAGGTGATTAACTGCCATTTGCGGAGTTTACAAGGAGGTCTACAGAGGAAAAGTCTCCTAAGAGGGTTTCTCAAGTGTCAGGGTGTTTTTGAGAAATCCAGATTAACTACAACACATCTTTGCAGAGGTAAAAGAATACATTAAAAGCAGTCACATGACACTTCAGCACATCCGCTGTAACATTCTGGATTTAACGTATCGCAGCCCGCTAACACTGTTCAAGAAGGCAATTCTGTTCACACACACAGTCTCGGGATTACACACCAACTCCCAACTCAACAACTATAATACTAAACACACTCAGTTACACTGAAAGAATAACTAATAACAGATTATTTTAAGATTTATGATCACAAATTTCACAATGTGTCTCGCTCTCTGTTGTGGTCTGTCGTGCAGCTGCTGTTAATTCTCTCACATGAGAAGAAGTCACGACTTCAACAGTACAAATGAATTCCAGTGTTGTGCATGTAAATACGTTTGTTTTTCATATTGTTGTTTAAAGGCTTTTCAGTGAGAGATACAATCAGATTAATCACTGTCGTATCACTCACAGTTCATCCTCAGAAAAGAAAGTACAAAGATCCATAAAGAACGGGATTAATCTCGATGCTAACAAGAGCTGAAACAATCTATAACTATTTAGATCAATGATGAATCGTTTGAATCTGATTTTTTATTTTATTACAGCAAAAATACCAAACATGACCAATTTGCAGATTCTCAGCTGTGAGGTAAGGTTAGTAAATCGATGATGTTGGGGGTTTTGACTGCTGGTTGAACAAAACATGCTACCTGAGGACATCAACTTGGCCTCTAGGAAGTTTATAATTTTCACTTTTTTTGACACTTGTTATATTTATTGGCATATCTACTGCTTTTATTTTATCAATCTTTGTTTGTGCCTTTTATGTCCTTGTATTTCTGATAATTCATATTCATATTTTATCTAATTCAGACCTCTGTGCCATATGTTTTAAAACCTGTTTCATGCTCTATGTGGTGTTCTTCTGCAATGTTTTGAGCCATTGAGGCCTCTCAGGTCTTCTGGGACAGGTCTGCTTTGGTTCCAAGAGTCAAGACAACACATGGAGAGGCAGCATTTAGTTTTTATGCACCACATATCTGGAACAAACTCCCAGAAAACAGAGGGTCTGCTGCAACTCTCAGTTCTTTTAAATTAAGGCTGAAGACATTTACATTTGCTGCTGCCTTTTATTTAATCAAATATTTATCTCTTACATTGTATTTTATAACTGTATTTTTCTATTTAAACTTGTTTTTCTTGGTTAAAAAAAGCACAATTAATTAATTGAAAAAATAATCTGCAAATTAATCGATAATTAAAATTCTATCTGCTGATGATCATGTTATATGATCAAAAGCTCTACAACAGTTACTACATGGAGCATGCAGTGATTGTTTTGTCAACGTCTGTTTCCAAGGTTGAAAATTAACTCATGAAATAACATTCACAGGTACAAATTATTGATATTGATTGATTGATGTGTTTCCTGGTCTAACTCAAGGTCCACTTACAAGCTTTTTGCTCAGTTTTCCTGAGCAGACTGAGTCTGTCAGTTGCCATCTGCTGAGAAAGAATGTTAGATGCAGTTTGATGCTCTAGAAAAATGTGGTAAGTGGACCTTGAGTTAAGTTTTGGGAAATGGATATGAGTTTGTTTGTTAAGAAACAAGTTCATCATACTTTTGTAACTGTAACAACTAATGTAACAAACATATTGTTACAGAACGAGAGCAAAGTAACACTGTAAATATACGATACTTGTTTTTATTAAAAGGATTTCAAATATACACAAAGAGAGTCAGAATGTGTCTGAGGCACATTTTCACTGCATGTCAGCAGATAATTAGTCCATTTATCAGAGTCCAGAAAGAGAGAAGCTCCTGAGCAGAGTCCCAGTGATCAATCAGCTGTAGAGAATCTCTGCAGATCAGAACTTCACCACTTTGGTCTGTTTGGGTTTGGCTTTCTTCACTGGGACATGGACTTCCTCATAGTCTGCACTCATGTTGTTGGACAACCAGGGAACTGTCACTGTGTGAGCTGGAGGGAGACACATTAAAGGTTAGACATCAGGTTTGGGAGACGAGATCGTGCTTCAAATTATGCGATCCATCAGAGTTGTCTGACGGTGGCAAGCCAACACTCTTTGTGTACCCGAAGTGACTGTCGTTGTTAGTGTGACGTCACAGTGATTTGATCCGTAAAACCGTGCAGGAAACCCAGAGGAATCAGTTTAAAGATGGAGACAGGAGAGACTCACTTGCAGCCTGGTGCTCTGGACAGTCCTTCTGAAAATGTTCCACTGAACCACAAACACGACAGGAGCCTCCTGCAGACACACACAGCATCATGTAAACTGGTGGAAAAATAATTAACTCTACATTGTGTTGAACATCTGTGTTTGTACCTTGTGCATAAAGTCCTTTGGGATTATCAGGGCAGCCCCGCGACAAGTGTCCAGTCTGACCGCAGATGAAGCACTTAGCAAATGGGTGTTCACCTGAAACACACACACAGGAACATTAAACATTATCAAAGCAGAATTAAATATTAATGTATCACAGGTGTCCAGCAGAGAGTCTGCAGGTTGTCCTCACCCAGAGCAGGGTCCACTTTGGCTCGACATTTCTGGATTTCGTGTTCGGTGGAGCCGCAGCGGTAACAGATGCCTCGGCCCATCTCCTCGTCTCTGTCCGCCTCCGGGCAGTCAGCCAAACCGTGACCGGGCTTCCTGCAGTTAAAACACAGCTGCACAGAGAAGGAGACAAGGAGAGAAGGGAACGAGGAGAGTGATGAGAGGCAGGAGAAAAATCAGAGGGAATATTAAGGCAATAAACCAGGACTAAAACCAGTCATACACCAGAGACGGACAATTATTCATGCACTTATTTTACTTTGAAAAATATCTGACCTTATGTGATTTGAATTCCCCACTTTGAAGTCTGAAGTTGTGTTTTAAGGATTCATAACTTCTGATTCTTTAAAATAAAAGTGTCCAATATTTGAGCATCTGTGCGGCCAAAGTGACGTCACACCATTAGACACAGCCCTTTGCAGGGGTTGCATGCGGCAGGTTTTCAACTGTTCGTGCACATCCAATGCTTTGGGACTACGCGGATGCAGATGGGCAGAGAACCATGCTGGAGACGTGTTTTCGATGCACTGCCCCTTAGAGTTTGGATTTTTTATAATCCGTGCAGTCTCTCCTCAGGGAAAACCAACATTCTCTCAAATGTTTCCTTGACGTCACGATCCAGCGTCAGCTCATCAACCATCCTTGCAGAAAGCGAGGTCGTCTGATGTGTGAAATGTCTGTACCATCACTACACTGCATTTTTATTATCAAACCTGTCGCCTGCATCCACACGCAGCCACACCATCACACGATAAACTACACCTACCAAGTAAAATAGCAACGCCCTGTCAATTTACCTCACACATGGATCTTCACATCAAACAAACATGTGGCATATATAGAGTATGTCGCACTGTACAGCCCTGTTGTGACCAGCAAGGAGGGTCAGGATTAGGGGACAGGGAGACAGGCGTTAGAGCCGTTACCTCTGCCAATGATGTCACGTCTGGGCTGAGGACAATTGTAACGGACACCACAGTTTTTTTACTGACGGAAAAATTATCAATACTTTTCTTCACTTTTGATTACTGGTGTTTTAAAGTTGTGATGTCACTCAAAGAAGTGTACAGGGCGCAGTTTTACACATACACACGCCTTATTTTTTATGTGGGTGGTAAAAAATCAGATAAAATTAAAGAAAGCTTCAGACGGAGACAGACCAGCTAAATGTCAGGCACACCCTTGCGACCAATGAAAATGTTTAGTCTCACTTGACAGATGGTCTGAGCCCTGCCTGCATCTCACACAGGTCATAAAAGTTTTTTAATTTTTGCCATAACGATCTTTTAAAAAGTTTAATGAACATCTGTCCTCCCACTCAATGTCTCAGCCCTCCATTTCCTGAGTGATTTCATAGCTTATGACAGTTGGTCGAATGCTTCTCGTCCCAATCTTCAGACTAAATGTGTGTGACACTGAGGCCGTTCTGATTTCGTCCTCTGAGACGTTTTGATGACCTCAAGCCCTGCGTCAGTATCTGGAACATCACTCACCATTTTGTTCTTCTTGTCGTTCTGCCTCTTCACCCTCCTGTCCTCTCTTCTTCTGTCTTTTTTCAGGGCCGTTTCCACCTCCTCCCTGAGCTCCCGCTCCCCCTCCGTCCCTCCTTTATCTCCTCTGGGCAGAGGCTGTCCGCTGTGCTGCAGATACTCCATGAAGCCATTCACGTCCTCGTTGAGGTACTCCTTCTTGGGTCGGTTGGGTTTTTTCACAGCTGATCCACCAGGCTGAGTCCCTCTCAGCTGGTCCCTCTGAGGCCCTCCTCCCCCTCCTCTTCCTCTTCCTCCTCTCAGCTGACTCCATGGGGTGGCCTCAGCTGGCTTGTGTTTATGGACGTTATTGGCTCTGGCCCACCTCGTCATGACGGCACTCTCTGACTGAAGCTGAAGGGAGAAAGAGTATTTCAGGTGGAATAGAGTATTTCATACTTTTGTTCAAGTCAAGACTGTTTCTCCAGATGTGTTGATGGTAAATGTTCGTGATTAACTGACTTTTTAGAGCATAGTTGTTCTCACAGGACAGCCACGAACAAACATATGATGATCTTATAGACTATGATGCATTACTGTAGATTAAATTACCCAACAGTATATAAAGGCGTTAAAATGAGCACAACCTTAAACATCTACAGCAGTAAAATGACACATACACATTAATGCGTCAGTAATATTATTCAAAAAACACTTTAACTGCACAGAGAGTACTTTAAGTACATTTTGCTGGTGCATACTTTTACCTCAGTAAAGGATCTGAATCCTTCCTCCACCACTTTCTAATCAGTTTGAAGCACAAAATGAACCTTTAATGCTAAATTTAACAAAACAAATACCACGTTACTGACACTGTCTGGAGCTACTGAATCTAACTACCATTTAAACATCGTTAGGAGAAATTATTACACGAGAAAACACCTCTCATTACCTTCGCTGACGTTTCTCTGTTTCGCCTGTTAGCATGTAGCAGCTAAGCTAGCTTACTCAAAGAGCGTTATCTTTGTTTTTGACGTAAAACACAATTTTCTAAAACTAGTGAGGTGACGACACACAGCAGGGCAGTTCAAAATAAGTGTTGACTACATAACGTGTCGTTTAAAATATGTAAATGTGAGCTATAAACAACATTACCGTGAGTGATTCCCAGCCATGCGTTTGTGTTTTGCCTGGAGGTGTTCTGTCTTCTTCTACGGTTTCTCGCTGTCTTTTTCTTCTTCTCTGTTTTCACTGGCGGCTCGGACAAGCTGCACACCGCCACCTGCTGTATCCTAGTGTAAATAACGTTTATCAGACCTCTGAAGGATATATTTGATTAACGCAGTACTTCAGTCAGTGTTTTCTTTTCCCTTATCATTCATTGGAGGGCATTTTTTCGGCCAAATAAGTAAATAAATAAATATTAAAAAATGGAAATATGATTAATTGGATAGTAAATTGATTTTGCACAACTAACTGCAATTGGAAAATGTGGGTTTTGGGTTTGGAATAAACTTCACAGAGGAGGATTCAAACAACATTACGCCAGATATTTTTCAAAGGGACATATTTCAGTGGTATTTGAATTTCAAAATTACTTAGATATTGAGTTGCTATTCAAATATTCAAATAAATAAGGCCTTCCTTTGCTTCCATTAAGACCGTAATGTGTTCACAGCTTTTTTAACTTCCTCTCAGTGGCCAAAAAATCAGTTAATGCAGGTTTTCACTCCAATATTTTCTTATTTACTTTGTAAAAAACATACAAATTGCTATTGCATAATTATATAATTTGTCTGTGAAATAGACTCTATATGGTCATGAGCAATAGACATTTTTATGAGTCATGGTAGCTGTAAATTATAACATTAAAAGCTCCACCCTTTCTTTAGTGAAGGATGGCGCAATACCACACTGTAAAAGTACCTGCAAAGTCCTGCATTCAAAACTTCATCTGAGCAAAAGCACAAAATTATAATCAGCTAAATGTACTTTAAGTATCAAAAGTAAAAGTACTCATCAGGCAGAAGAGCCTCTGGCAGAGTTTTATTGTTCTTGGCCGAAATATTGCATTTAATTTATTATCAAAGCAGAAATATTAACATGTAAGCAGCATTTACATGACGCAGCTGTTTAAAGTGGAGCTAAATTTATCTATTTCATTTACTGCTGGATATTTTAATCTATAATAATGCCTCATATTATATGAACTTTTTGACTGGTAGTAACAGGAGATCATGAATGAGGCCGCAGCTCACAGGTGATTTTACTTAATGTGACTAACGAGGGAGTGAAAGCATCAGTCTGTGTGTCCGGAGAACATGCTGCATCGGCTCCTCGCTGCTCTTCTGCTGGTTGGATCCTGTAAAGATGGTGAGAAATCAACACATTTGATTTCACTCTCTGATGAACTGATGATTTATTCTCTGATGTCTTGTGTTTCTCAGTCGACTCCAGTCCTCTACCTGAAGTTAAAAAAGGTACAGTTGATTCTGATTTAAGTCTGGATCGATCAAGGTGTTTACATGAGTTACTTTAATGTGTAAATGTGTTTTTACAGAGAGTCAGAAGGACTGGTTCAACAGGATGTTGGATTATATGGAGTCTAACCCTGAGACTTTAGAAGGTCAGTGTGTTAGCTGACATGTTTAATGTCTGCAGCTGGGAGGAAACACAGACAGAATATCTGTTAACATTCTTTTCCTTGATCCCATTTGGACAGAGCTGATGACCCACAGCTCTGCAGTGTTGGAGGGAGACATGGTGCTGTCAGTGAGTGAAACCACATCATTGTTCCTTTATAAAAAAAAATATGTTTTAACTGCTGTTCTTAAGAGAAGCCCAGACATGTACTGCACAAAGTTTGGAGACACATTCAGGCACAAGAACAGTCAAAACTGAAGCAGCAGCAGCAGCTGAGAGAAGCAGACTTTTAGAGCCTACATTTCCCATCATGCCACTCGATTACATTTGTAGTTACACAGTGCCTGCAGGAAAAACCACAGAGGTTTTCAAAGTTTGAGAAATCAACACGTTTAACCGGCCCAGTCACCAGAGTAAACTGTTGGCATTGTACGTTTCTGCCAAACCAGGAATACATTTGCATGTGTCCTGTGGATCATATCTTTATTTCTGAAGTGATGTAATATATGAGCTGACTTTGACGTCATGGGGTGGAGTGGATGGTCGCTGGTGAGATGTCTGCCAAGCTAGCTTCTAACAGCTTATCCTCTTGAGGGTCACAGGGGGGCTGGAGCCTATCCCAGCTGACACTGGGTGAGAGGCACCAGACTATCACAGGGCTGACACATAGAGACAGACAACCATTCACACTCACATTCACACCGACGGACAATTTAGAGTCACCAATTAACCTGCATGTCTTTGGACTGTGGGAGGAAGCTGGAGCACCTGGAGGAAACCCACGCTGACATGGGGAGAACATGAAGACTCCATACCGTACATGCACCATTAGATATAATCAATATGTTAGAGAAGAGCCCAAAGAGAATTATGGTTTCAAGAAGTGTTTCTGTGTAAGTGCACAAAGCTGATTTGTATTATCTGAGCCTGCAGAATGACAGGAACGCAGTGGAGAGCACATGGCCAACACCTGAGATACCGTACGTCATCAGCCCAGAGTTAGGTAAGCAGCCTGACAGCCAATCACTGGCTCATGTTTCTACTCACAGCAGCCTTCATTTTACTGTTGGGTCTTTTGCAGAAAGTCGGACAGACGACATTCTCTCTGCCATGGCGATGGTGTCCAAACACACCTGTGTGTCCTTCCACAAGCTAACCTCTGAGACCAACTACCTGCTCTTCGTCATCAGCAAAGGGTATGAAAAGGTTTTAATACTGCACCATGAATCAGAGGCGGACTCAGGCTGTCCGGAGGCAAAACTCCACAACCTCAGTTCAACATTTAATGATGCTGATGGGCAGCTGGAAAGGTCTGTCAACAAATCCTTCAGGTCACATAAAGACCTTGTGTTTGTCATATTCTAGTTGTGCATCATACGTGGGCTTCATCGGCGCTGAGCAGCACGTGTTCGTCGGGCCCCTGTGCAAGGTGGGGAACATCGTCCATGAGATTCTCCACGCTCTGGGCTTCCACCATGAACACACGAGGGAAGACCGTGAACAGTACATCACCGTTCTTCCCAGTAATATCATGGACGGTAATATGTCTTTACTCATGTCACTGGGATCATCTCTAGATGTGTAAAAATCCTCTGCTTTGATGTCAGTATGGTTTTGATAAAGAGAGAGTTGAAGGGAGTCATAATTCAGTGACACCTGAAAACATACTGATATCACGTCCTTAAATCTGCTTAGAAATAAAAATTTAAAAAAAAGACGCTGCAGAACTTTCCTGAGAATCATCAGTATCAGAGTTATCAGTGACAGTTTTCTGTACATCCATGGGTCCACTGCAAACAGCTGCTAACAGATAATTCAGCAAACTTTTAATGGTGCTAGTTCGTCAATATGTGAACAATTATAGGCTAACATATGAGCTCCAAAGAGAGAACCAGTGCCACCTCCCCTAGAGATATAAATCCAGCCCTGGGGGGAGAATGAAGTTTAACTGCTGAGTCCATTCTCAGTGTTTGTGAGCTGGTTTTTGAGTTGCATACTGGACCCTGATCGGCTTCAAAGTAGTTGTGATATCACCAAATCCTGCAGGCACGTCAAGAGAAACTTCCTCCTTCAGCAGATAAAAGTGAAAACAAATATTGAAACTCAAAAATCACAATCACTCAAAAAGCACTTTGCTGTCAGGGCCCCGAGGCTCTGGAACAGTCTGCCCGAGGAAATCAGGTCGGCCGAGTGAGTGATCTGTTTCAAGTCTCTTCTTGGAGAGTCTTTCCTTATTTCTCTTGAGATTTCAGTTCATTTAGACTGTCTATTATTTCCTCAGTTTTTATACACTAAAGTGTTTTTATCCGTTCTTTTAAAAGTTGTTTTCATGTCCTGTCTGTTTTATTTACTGACATGATCAGCACTTTATGAATTAAGATTACTATAAAAACTTCACCGCTTCATAAACGTTGATATGAAACATACAAATGTAACAATCATAATTTGCAGAGACGTACACTACCAGCATTTTCCTGTTGTCTGCTCTCTGTGTGAAATTAATACAGATGTGTTTCAGGGATGGAGAGAAACTTCAAAAAGCAGCAAGGCAAAACCTTCGATCTTCGTTACGACATAACTTCCATCATGCACTATGGAAGGTAACGTGTCCAGAATACTAAAGCATGTAAAAGTATTTTTCTGTAAGTGTTATTTTGTTTGGAAAAACCTTGCTTAACTCGCTGCCCCCTCGACCCAGCCCTGGATACGCAGATAAAAACAGATGGATGGTTAGTTTGTGAGGTTCTGATCTGTTTCAGTGGGTATTTTTCTTTGAACGGCCTCCCCACCATCGTACCGAACACTGATGTGAAGGGCATGGGACAGAGAGACAAGATGACAAAGATGGACATCGAGAGAGTTCGACTTCTCTACAGCTGTGGTATATTGTTACTGACACCTGGCTACTGAAAGTATAACACACAAGGCCCATGATGCTTAACTGTCCTTCTCCTCCCTCCTCTCTTTACCAGACGCCCCAGAACAAAAGACAAAAGAGAAGGAAAGCAGCGATGTCAGGAAGGAGATTGCAAACATGTATGTGCCTATGCACGATGTGGCTTCTGCATGAAGGACGAGGAACACAAGCTCACACGTCTGCTCCTGCCTCATCTGCCTCTCTGCAGCACCTCAACGCTACCACTAGAGGGCACAATCACACCAGCACCTAGACTGAACTGTCTGACTTTATTTATTAATAAAACCAAACTATACACCTCACATTTGTCTTCACTGGTGTCACACGACAAGCTGAAGTTTTTGTTTGGTGAAAAAGGTACTTTCCAAATGCTGATGCCTGAAATAAAAAAGAAAGTTTCAGATTGAGGGAAAGAGTGAAAACTTTACTCAGCTCAACATTGAGTCAATACACTGCAATAAAATCCCAAACTTTGTGTCATTTCTGTCAATAACTGTGTTCTGAAAACCTAACTTTGCTGACGGCATAAAAAACCTGCCAATGCAGTAAAAACATTTCAGCCCTTTTTCAATATTAATAGTTTTGTAGAGATCTCTGAAAGAAATCAAAGGGAATGATTACGTTTTTAAAGTCTGAGAAAAGCAAAAATAAATATCGATATGTGTAATGAGTGAGTCACACCACAGAAATTGTGTCATAAAGCACGGAAGCGTATTGTATTGCATTCACTTG